ATTGTTCTTATTTAAGCATAACACCACCCCGCATTTTTTGCAAGTGATATTAGTAATAATAATAATAATAATAAACGTCTTTATTGAGAAAATACATATACAATCTCAAATGGCGAAATTTGACTTGTAACATTTAAAGTTACAGCTCATTCTTACATTTAACCATGAAATGCAAGCTTAACTGGCTATAAATATAAATTAGAAACAAAATAAATATGTTTTTAATAAAACAAAAAAAAATTTACAAAAATCATAAATATACATAAAAAGTATTCTTAAATAGTATAATTTCCACTTAACTTAAAAATAGTAGTTTCATTGCTGTTCATTAAACAAGGCTTCAAAAACTTTCCTTTTAAATAATTTAGCGGACCAATTAAGCATGTTAGAGCGTAAATCAAATGGCAAACCGTTAACATAGCTTGGCAGAATATATGAAAACGACCTTTTAAATAATTCCGTCCTGTGAGAGGGTACGGAAATAGTATTTTTAAATCTAATATTAATATTGTGAATATCAGTGCGATAGGAAATTTTGCGATGGAGGTAACTGGGGGATTTGGTTTGTAACAAATTTTGAAAAAAGCAAATTGTGTGAAGCTTTCGTCTATTATTCATATCAAGCCATTTATTTTCCATTAACGTATGACGAATTCTGTCATACTTCCTGATGCCAAAAATTAGGCGAAGGCAACTGTTTTGCAGTTTTTGAATTCGTGCGATTTCAATTTTAGTTAAGCATGGACCATAAATGGAATCACAATAATTTAAACTAGATAAAACCAGGCTGTCACATAGCATAGACTTTGTTTTAGTATTTAGAAAATGTCTTATTTGATAAATTTGTTTTAAATTTAAATAGGCTATTCTTAGACGGCTGCTTATATACTTTGTAAAACGAAGATCTTGATCCAGTAAAAGGCCCAAGTTTTTAACACAACTTTGAAACTTAAGAGATGAATTATTTAAGACAATTTGACTTTCATAATCCAGTTCAAAACGATTTCGAAGACTGGAGCTACCAAACACTATTACAGCTAATTTGGATGCATTTAATAGCAGACAATGCTGGTTAGAAAGTTTTAGGATTTCATTTAAATCATAATTTATTGCTGTAATAGCTTGATAACATTCGTCAGGATTAAAACTTAAATATAATTGCGTATCGTCAGCGTAGTAGTGGGTTGAGCATGAAACTATCTTTGAATTAAATTGACTTATGTAAATGGAGAACAACAAGGGTCCCAGAATAGATCCCTGTGGAATGCCACGGGTTGTTTCTAGAAAAAATGATGTTTTATTATTACAAGACACAGCCTGATATCTTTCACATAAGTACATTCTAAATAACTCCACAGAACTTTGAGAAAGTCCAGCATATTTTAAAATGGATAATAATAATTTATGGTTTAAGGTATCAAAAGCCTTGGTGTAGTCAAGTAGGATAAGGCATGTAAGTTTTTTATTATCAGTGGCTTTAATAATGTCATCTGTTATCTTTATAAGGGCTGTACAGCAACTATGGGATGAACAAAATCTAGATTGGTTGGGGGGTATAATGCTATGTTGATATAAGTATATTTTAAGTTGTTTTTCGAGTACCTTTTCTAAAATTTTGGAAAGAGTTGGTAATAGACTAACAGCAAATGATTTAGACTAGGTGGATTAGATATTTTTGGCAAGGGCACAACTAAGGCTTTTTTCCATTCCCTGAGAAAAACAGAATTTAATATACAGAAATTAATAATATGAGTTATATATGGTAACAAATAGGGAAGACACAAATTTACAGTCTCAATATTAATACCGTCACACCCGTGGGCTTTGGTCTTAATGCCAGTAATAGCTTTAAGAATTTCTGTTTCAGAAACTATGTTGAAATTAAAATCTTTATTATATTTCTTAGAGCTTTCATAAAAATTCAAATGATGTGTGTATATACTAATGTATATACTAATGTATGTATTTTAACACTAATAAATCTAATGTATAAATGTTTATATATAACAATAAGCTGCTTTGTAGCTGCTTCAGTCCACACTCCTGAACGTTCAGTTTCGCAACGTGAAGCTGCAGAGAAAGAGCCTATAAAATAAAATGCATTAAGCGACTAATGTATAATAAATGTACATTTTCCCAGCTCTTCATTTTCGTCATGTAAATAAACTTCTTCCTCGCGCGAGTTTCTTTCCTTCCACTACGCTTTTCTTGCACAATAATTTCCTCATATATTATCTGCGGCTCCTTTTGTGAGGGTTCCTGACGTGTTGCACTGTTCTGGGTTTTAAATGTATCCAACAGTTGATAAGCATATTTCTTATCCACAAAGAAGCAAAATTATTATTAGGAAAGGCATCAATACAACACTACGAATTTTATTCAATCCAACTTAAGAGAATTTCTTGTATTTGTTTATATTTAGTTTTTTATAATATTTATGTATTGTTTTTTGACTGCAATATTTTGAACTAATAAAATTTATTCTATTCTATAAAATGCCAAGTATTCCAATAGCTTATAATACAAACACTCCTTTACAAGGAGGTTACACAAAAAATATGTGATTAATTTGTTTATGGAATACTCGATACAAAGGCATTCAATAGCAAAAACGTGATTGGGACAACAGACAAGATTATGTTCTTTGAGCAGCTAATTTTATTCATAATCCTCTTATATCACCAGATAAAGTATTACTACAACCACTTAATATAAAATTGGGTATTTCCAAAAACTTTATTAGAGCGTTTCCTGTATAAGGACAAGCTTTTACTACATTAAGAATTAAATTTCCACGACTTCGTGCTGCTAAAGTAAAAGAAGGTATCAAAATAAAATAAATATTTTAGAAAAATTTACATCTTTTATTTTTTTATATTGTAGGTATGTTTAATGGACCTGATATAAGACGACTTATGAAAAATAATAAATTTTATACATCATTAGTTGCTTGGCTCGCTATTAAAGACGTTATAAGCAAAGACCGGATTTTAGGCCGTTAAAAATTGGAAATTAGGAGACTTAAATAGGCAATAAAAACCTACATTTTAGGCTGTTTTAGGCCTAAAGTGCCAAAAATAGGCCTCAATCGCCTAAAATAGGATTTTAGGCCGTTAAAAATTGGAAATTAGGACACATAAATAGACAACAAAAACCTACATTTTAGTGCCAAAAATAGGCCTCAACCGCCTAAAATAGGCGATATGAAATAAAAACAACACAATTTAACTAACAATAAAAATAAAATAAAAAATACATCTCTATAAAATACAAAAAAAAAATAATAACACCAAATTTAAGGCAAATCTTTCGCCACTATGATTAAACATAAAAGTAAAATATCTTTCTTAAAATAATAAGTAAATTCATCATATTGGCTAAAGATTTGCTTTAAATTTTGTATAGGTAAGTATAAGTTAACGAAATCCTTCTTTATTCATACTGGCCAATATATAAAACAAATTATTTATTTAGTTGGTTTGCATTTCCGTAACACACTAAGTACATTTCCAAGTTTTCGGGAGTAAAATTAGTCCTTTTATAATTTAAAATATTTTCTTTTTTTTTTTTTTTTTTTTTTATGTATGAAATCCATAATGAGAGTAACTACCAATTCAAAAAAAGTTGGGGAAGAAAAAATATAAGTCCAATCTCTCAAACCAAATTTATTAATTAGTACGACCGGTTTCGCAAGTTTATTTTAATTTACTTGCATCTTCAGGTACCCATCATTAATGCTGAATTGTAAGTATAATAACTAGAATGGGTTGCAGTTGCCTTTATCACTTTGAAAACTTTTTATAGGTTAATAAACCACGTTTTTTGTGTTTTGTCATTTTCAATTATTTAAAGAATTTTAAAGAAATTTTGTTACACATTGGCTTTAATTTTTTATATACATAGACTTAAGGAAAAAAAGAGTTTTTAATATATGTTTTTTAATTTTTAATATATGTTTAATGTTAAGGTGAGGAATAAAAAGTTTGTTGTTTTTTGTAGATTACCTGAAGATGCAAGTAAATTAAAATAAACTTGCGAAACCGGTCGTACTAATTAATAAATTTGGTTTGAGAGATTGGACTTATATTTTTTCTTCCCCAACTTTTTTTGAATTAAAATATTTTTTAACCAAGAAAAAGATCGTTCCACGTCACAGGATGTCAGGGGACAAAATTTGAAAATACTGCAGTCATTGTGTCTAGCGTTGATTTTATTGTTGCCGTTCAAAACATCACAAATTTCTTTGATTGTAGTATAGCCTGGGTTTTTAGCCAGAACATCTCTTAGTTTTGAGTTTAAAATCTGTCCAGCTGTACCAGGAGCATTCAATAGATGCTTCTTTACATTTTCGATTATTTCAATCCCCTCAGTTAAAGACAGCCCAACAGTCTGTAACTTTGTGATGCTGTCCTTCAAAATCTTGAAATGTGCTTTTATATTCTGCAAATCATTTCTGAGTGAACTTTGTTTGAATAACTGTGGGACTTTTTTAATGGCATTGGATGAATTCTCATCAAATGTATTAACAACCTGAAACAAAGAATAATAATAATTTTTAACGCAGGTACACTTTATTCTTACATTTTTCACTCCCTCAAAGTTATCGGCATAAAAAAATGCGGCTTCCAACCAGGTTCCCCAGCGGGTCAAAACAGGCGCTGGAGGCATAGGAACATCAGGCAACATCTCTCTATAAACTTGCGTCTGCAAAGGAGCTTTCGAAAAGATTTTTTTTGGTTTGAAATAAAATCATCGACTTTCTCGAACTCATCTCGGACTTTGCTGCATACAAGGTTTAGACCATGTGCGAGGCAAATTAAATGTATGAGATTCGGATAAAACACTTTTAAATTTTGCCCACATTTAACCATGTAAGCTGCTCCATCGGAGACAAAAAGTCTCACTTTCTCATACTTTATCCCATTGGGCCAAAAAATCGACCAGCCGCAACTGCTAAAAAATAAATATAAAATAAACATAATAAAGTAAACAAACTAAAATTATTTTAGTAACTCTTTTAGAATCTTTATTTTTTCCTCCTCAATCTTAAGTCTCCTTTCTCCTTGTTCTTTTTTCCAATTTTGCTTATCTTGAAGAAATGCCGGTTTAGTTTCTTCCTTTCTCTCTAAGTATAATTTTTTTTCTGGAAAAAATAATTCAAATTCAAGTGTAGCATTTTTCCTCCATTTTTGGGAATTCACAACTTCATTTATTGGCGGATTATTCTCTTTTTCAATTTCATCAGCCTGGCTTGTACTAGCCTCACCCAGTAACTGTACGTCAATGGAATGTGGGCTACTATTGTTGGGTTGGCTACCCAAAAACCCATCCATTTTTTCAAAAAAGTTAAAACGGGTGGGTCCCCTTCCTGTTTTACTCTTTGCATCTTTGCACACCTTGTATGTTCTTAACAGGTTTTGCCACTTTTTAAGGCATCCAGTTGATGTCATCTAAAAATAAGCTTTGTAAGTGAACCTATGTATTAATGTTAAAACAACTGTTTTCTTACATTTGTTTTTAAGCTTTCCAATTCAGTGGCTATTAGATTCCAAAAGTTTTCCTTTTTTTGGATTGTAGTCTTCGTAAGGGGCTTCGACACAGTCAAGTAGTTTGACTGTGTCATTATAGCTCCATATGCTCTTTTCTTTTACTGCAAAAACAAAACTAAATGTAGCTACATAATATTTTTAAGAAATAAAACTTACACAAGTGGTCTCCAGGTTCTTCTATAGTCACATCATACTCTGTTTCTTGAACTGCTTCACTAAGCGTTTCATCAATGTCAGTAGTCCCTATGTAATTAATTTTCGCGTGGCGCAATATTGACTCCGAAAATTGAAGATCTTAAAGAATACATTGAAATATAAAAATAAAACTATTAATTTTAGTTTATTACCTTCCTGCACCCTCTGTGCATCTTCAGTAGACAAATTAAGAGTATATGTTAGAGACGTTTCATGATCTATAATACTTACTCTTTTCATAATTCCACAATTACAATTTTTCGAAGATTATTAATTTTATTAACCTAAATAAAATAAGGTTATGTTATTTAAAAACATAACAAATCAATAATTTCTTTATCCCCTCCACTTTATTTCCGACTTTCAAACTGATTCCCCCGCAAAGCATGTCCAGTATCGGTAAGGGGGGAGGAAAAATCTCAGCTCACTTTATGGTGAGTGAAGCAAAAAGAACGCGCACATTTGCAAATTTTACCGATGTGAGCTGAGATTAACTGAGATCTCAGGCGAAAAGAACGCACCTATTATAATATATTATATCCCCCCAACCCAAATGTTGTGAGTTTTCATAATTTCTCAAACCGTCGTTGAGGTCTAGTTGATCTACTCCAAACAATAATTTGGAAGTTAAATTGGCTATGGACAAAATAAATTGTTTATAGCAAACTCTACCTCCGGTAAGTATTTATCCCAGTGATTTTTAAACTCTGTCAGTTTTGACAGCACTGGCGTCAAATCGCGGTTTTACCGTTTAATTTGACCATTCGCACGTGGAGAACTCGTGGCTATTTTAATTTGATTAATACTTTTAGCTTATAAAATTTTCAGTCCCCAGACGTAAAACTCGTACCTCTATCCGATACAATACAAACTGGCCTACTATAATTTCAAAAAAATCCAATAATTTATTAATAACCTCCGCAGTTTTAGTAGATTTAACAGCGTAAAATTGACATGCTTGATAAAAGCGTCGATTACCTCAAATATATATTTCTTCCCAGTAGGGGTTTTGTCTAGTGGTCCTTAATGGTCAATATGGAGCGTAATAAAAGGTTTATTTCGTTTTGGAATTGGGAGAATAGGTTATGCATTTAATGCAATTTTTAATATAATTATTTATTTTATCTCTAAACATTGGAAACCAATAAATAAACTAGTGAAAGATATTCATGTGTTTTGTTAAATTCTACGTGACCCAATAGGTCATGAAAATAAAAAATTACTTTATATTCCATTAATTCGTAATCAAGCCGTGCTGCCGCAGTGGAAACACTGGGTGAATAAAAATATTTTAGATGAAAAGGGCATCCTCAAAAACTTCCACCACGCATATTTTATTTAAAATATAATACAGCGTTGTCCAGCTAGTTATATTCCACACATGCAACGATAAACCCTTAGAAAAGGCTGAATCACCATTTATAAACTTATAAATTCTCTGTAATCAAATAATTATACCAAGTTCTATTATTATATTTGAATCGTTCAGATGTTAATAAAGCTTCCTCTCGTAGCTAAAATAAATTTTTATTTTTAAAAACACATTTTCGCAAAATAAAACCAAAATTGGCGCAGTCGGTAGGATGTGCTAAACGTGTTTTTCTATCGCAGTGTATCGTCACTTTGTTAGTGCTCCGAACAAACTTTCGTTTTGTGTCTATGTGTGTGAGAGCCGTTCAACGAAGACAAACATCGCAGACTCCTTGGCTAGGCTAAGTTAGGCTAAGAAAGAAGAAACAGAAGCAAGAAACGCACAAATGAAAATCATTCTTCTCATACTGTAAGTCTCATTTTCCTTTCCATTTTTTTAACCCCTTACATTTGATAGTGTACTTAGACAGTCAAATATTTACTTTGCTAAACTTTTGTAAATAATCACTTATTAAAAAAACAAAATGGCTCAAAATGCTAACGCCGCAGCCGCAGCACAACCAAGAGCTGTAAACTATGTATTTTTAAGACTATATTTAGATTCAATTCCAAATTACGAGGGAAATCCTTATACTTTGGGAGTATTCTTAGAGTTATGCCAAAATTTTATAACATCATTCTTTGACCCAAATAACCAACAACTATCTAGTTTTATGCTTAGAGCGATTATTGGTATATTAACGGGAAGGGCCCTCAGTCTAATAGGTTCTAGGATAGAATAAACAACTTGGGACCAAATTAAAAATGCTTTAACAACATATTTTGGTGATCAACGTAACTTAGATTGTCTTGTACAAGATCTTATTATTTTAAAACCCAATAAAAATGAAACACCTTATAATTTTGGAATGAGATGCCAGGATTCTCGAAGTTTAATCACATCTAAAGTAAACTCATCAAATTTAACGTAGAGGAAAAGTTATTAAATATAAAAAATTATGCTTAGAAACCCTGTCAGTCTATGCAAGCTGCAATGGCCCTTCTTATCGCAGAAGAAAATTTCGCATACAGTCAAAATAAATCACATTTTATTAATTTACAAGCCAGATATAGGCCGACAAATAAAATTACCCCTTCAACTAATTCTAACCCCAATAAATTTACTAACAACGTAAGACCATATTTCCATAATTATTCAAATTTCCCAAGACCACAAAACCAATTTAATTTTCAAAGACCGTCATATTTTAACCCGCAAATCCCCAATAATTTCCAAAGACCTTTTTCACAAAATTATTCCCCACAAAACAATTTCCCACAAAATTATTCCCCACAAAATATTTTCCCACAAAACAATTTTCCAAGATCTAATTTCCAAAATACCGGCGCAATAGCTAAAAGACTCCTTTCTGGTCAAACACAATTAAATAATCAATTTAGAAAAACTTTTAAAACAAACCCGGTAGAACCAATGGACACTACATCAGCTCGTTTTGCTAATCGAAGTTCCACCCCAAATAGACTCTATAACCAAGAAATAGAAAACATTTCAGACTCCTTTCAATTTTTAAACCCATTTGAAAACAATAATAACTACGACACTGACTATCCTAAAAATGCCTAATGCCTTTAAAAATTCTAATGAATATAATTCAAACGAACAAGACATGTATTTAGAAAATGAACAACTTTTTGAACCAAATTTGAATGATACTAATTATTACGACCCAAATTTTCAAGCGACCACGGATCAGAAGAATCAAACATAATAAATTTAAATAGACTTAAATTAAAAAATAAATCCGATTTGCCACATATATTTATCCCTAATCTTAACGCTAATTTTTTAATTGATACAGGTTCAACAAGTAGCTTAATAGACCCGGATTTTGCTTATAAATTTTATATTAACTATATTTTTAATGAAAAATTTAAAATTACAATTGCCCACGATATATCGATGCACAATGAAGTAATGTATGTCCCGACATTTGATATTTTCTTAGTTAATGGCGCTCATAAATTTCACTTGTTTAAATTTAGTGACAATTATGAAGGTTTAATAGGTATGGACATTTTAAACAAACTAAAGGTACATGTGGATTTTGAATATAAATTACTGTCATTTCAATACCCCTTATTTACGAATCCGATGAATTACCAAATTTACAAAATAAATTTAATTTAAGTTTAATTTAAATAAAAGTAAATATTCAGTTTCTATTCCACCTAGAACAGAAAAAGTAGTTAAAATCCCAGTAAATCAAAAAATGGTTTAGCTTTACTAAACTATATAAAATTCGATAATCAAGTTAAAATACCTCATTCTTTAGTTAACGTAAATAATTTCTTCGCCACCACTACAATTACTAACGCCTCCACATTCCCAGTAAAAATAGGTTTTAAAAAAACTATCAACGTAGAAAATGTCGATACGAATGAAACAAACTTTAGTTACCTAACTTATGATAGTGACTACATTAATAAAAATTTAGATATGTTAAAACCCAATTTAAAAAATTTACGCTTAAAACATTGTAACTACGAAGAACGTAATTTAATACGAAAACTTTGTTACGAATACCGAGACATATTTTATAACGAAAATTTACCCTTAACATTTACAAATCAAATTAGACATAAAATTAACCTTAAAGATGACACTCCAATTTTTACTAAAACATATCGCTATCTCGAAATTCATAAATCAGAAGTAAAATCGCAAGTCAATAATATGTTAGATCAAGAAATAATCCAATTGGATTATTAACATAGTTAACATAGTACTTCACCCTGGTATAGTCCTATTTGGATTGTACCAAAGAAATTAGATTCTTGAAATAAACAAAAATGGCGAGTTGTCATTGATTATAGAAAACTTAACGAACGAACAATAGACGACAAATACCCCCTCCCTCTAATTACTGAAATTTTAGACAGGTTAGGCAAATCCCAATACTTCACCACTTTGGACATTGCAAATGGATTCCACCAAATCGAAATGGATCCACGTGACATTAAAAAAACTGTCTTTTCAACAGATATAGGACATAGGACGAGTTTAAACGAATGCCTTTTGGTTTAAAAAAGGCACCCTCGACCTTTCAACGCGTAATGAACAACGTCCTTCGCGGTTTACAAAATGAAACATGTTTAGTTTACTTAGACGATATTTGTCATTTTTAGTACATCATTACAAGAACATTTAGATAGACTTAAATCAGTTTTCGAAAGACTTAGACAGGCTAACTTTAAAATCCAATTAGATAAATCCGAATTTCTTCGAAAGGAAACTAGTTATCTTGGACATTTTATTTTATTTTATGGTGTTAAACTAAATCCCGACAAAGTGAAAGCAATAAAAAAATTCCCTATTCCAAAAACGCAAACCGAAATAAAAAGTTTTCTAGGTTCAGAAAATTTATTAAAGATTTTTCTAAAATAACAAAACCCCTTACTCAATGTTTAAAAAAGAATTTTAAATTAATTCATGACAAAAATTTTGTTT